CCTGCCATCAAATTTACTGCATATCCTTAAATTGACAAAATGCTGTACAACTTGGTACATAGATTCTTTATCTCTTAAGGGAGAAGGTGAGATTAGTCATTCAAACCACTGTTAATTCTAAAAGTCTGTATTTAAATGACTATAAGAGACTATAATAATGATGATGATGATGATCCCATTGCCATATTCATTTTATGCTCATAACAAGAACATTATTCCCATTTTGCAGATGGGGAAACTGCGACTCAGATTAAAACATGTACTAAATGAGAAAACTTTGGAAATATTCTGAAACTTGGTTGTGGCAGTAACTGTAAAACTATAGATTTACTGCAACCATAAGATTGTATACTTGCAATGGGCAAATTTTATAGTATGTACATTACACCCCAATAAGGCTGTTGAAAAGAAAGAAATAAAACTTACTGAAGCTAGTAAATGACAGAGCCCTTTACCACTACCCCGCACTACCATGGACTGTCCCCTCCTACATATATGAAGACGAAAGCAATGAACACAGAAGGAGGATAGCTTGGGTTCAGATTCTGGCTCTAGCATTTACTAGCTGTTTGACCCAGAAAGATACTTGGCCTCAACTTCTTCACCTTTCAAATGTAGACAAAAATGATACCTATGGCTGAGTGTAGTGGTGTTCATTTTGGAGTCCCAGCTACTCAGAAAGCTGAGATAGGAGGATGATTTGAACCCAAGAGCTTCTTTGGGCCAGCCTGGGCAACATAGTGAGACCCAGCTTTTTGAAAAAAGATTAAAATTTTAAAAAATTTTAAAACTTAACAAAAAGACAAAAAACTGATGCCTGTTACATAGGCTTGCTGTGAGAATAAATGGGTTAATATAGTTTAAGTGCTTAGAGTAACTCCTAGTACATGACAGGTGTTATATAAATAAGGACTACCGCGGTCTTCCCCAGGATTGCAGTCAGAGCTAGACCTCTTAAAGGAGCCCGCTTCTCCCTGCCAACCCCATCTCCACTCTCCTGGTCCCTTAAAGAAACACTCCTCTCCAAAGGCCATCTTTGGAAAAACACTGCGCTGGCTGTCAGCTCATCTCACTTCCTGGTAACGGAGCTAGGGAGAAACATCATCTTCCCGATAAGGCAGTGACTCGCCGCTGCTCTCGTAAAACATTCATTACCATGCCAGCTTCTCCCCATGGACTGTTTCTCCTGGGTCCTTACAAACTGCAGCAACCAGCCAACAGGGAGCCCCTTTTAAAGCCTCAACACGCCCCATGCCACGATGGCAGACTGGGCATGCCCCACCCCCACAGCACCAGCAGCTGTCTGTCTGGCTAATGAATCAGAAGGGATAAGGGTTATAGGTGCACAAATTTGTGTCACTCAGAAATGGGGCTTTCAAGCACTAAGCCAACAACCAGGGCAAAGTGGCCCGGGGTGGGTGGTGGGGCGGGGCTGGGGTGTGAGCTGATGCTTTCTGTGTGATCACCACCTTCTGCTTAGACTTGAGTCACATTATGTAAACCACTTTCTCTTCCATTATCTCACTGGATACTCAGCACAGCCTTGGCAGGTGGATGTGGCTGTCCCCTGGGTATCAACACCCCTTTTACCCGTGAGCAAACTGGGGTGACGCATTTCAGCAGGTGGCACAAGCAAGGCACAGAGTGAAGTCCTCTGCAGTCTGAGCCAGTGTTTTTCCACTGGCTTCGCAGGAAGAGGTCAGAAGCTCCTCCGACTCCACCTCAGGGGTGCTAATGACGTTTTTTTTTTTACATGCTCAAGAAAATAAAGCAATGCACTGTCTTCCTATCCCTGCAAAGTGCCTTACAAACTGCTCTGCAAGCTCTGCACAAGAGTCAGAAGGGTCACATGAAATGCAGAAGCTTTGATTCTGTTCAAATCCCCGTAGTCCCACGTCAGACAGTCCAAGCCGTGAAACAAATTAGCATTAGTCCACAGAGCTCAAAGTGGCAGGAAAACAGGCAGAGTCCCCAGAGAAACCAGGCTATAGCTTAAAAAGCGATTGCTGTGCCTCTCGGGGCTCCCAAAGTTCTCATCCGATCTCAGACCAGGTCTGAGTCTCCATGAGGGTGGCTAGGGGCTTCTGGGCTGATTTTTTAAAACCCCTGTGTCATATTGACATTAATCCTCTTGTTAGCAATCTCCTGGCCTGGAAGCAGGATTGGTTCTGGGTGTGGGGGATGGGGAACACAGGAGTGGCTGTATTTTAGGGTGCCACAGTGATATCCACAGGGCTGGATGCCACCTTCTCAGTGGGGGTGGCGCTCGGTGACCATGCCAAGGGTCCCCTGCAGTAAGCCTGAATCCTTCCCCTTCAATCACTCACCAACATTTCACTCCCTAGTCCCTTTCTGGCTCAGTCCACCCTCTGTCCCCAGAGCCAGCGCCTTCACCTCTTATTGATTTTCATATTTAAGGAAAATCCATTTGCTTGATTCAGAACAACTGAGTCATCACTGCGTTCAGACAAAAACTACTCACAAGGTAGACACTTGGCAGACACCACTACTGGGATGGGCAGGCAGGGACCCTGTTTCTTGTCCAAACTGCACTCTGTCCATAGTCAGCTCTGGCTTCTCCTCTCTGCCACACTTTCATCCCATATCTGGAGCCTGCATGTCCTCTGCCACCACAACCAGACTGACCCCTGCTCTTTCACTCCCTCCCCCAACCCATCTGCCTGCTCTTATATTTGCTTACAAGTCCAAGTTCACTGTTGGAGGGCTGTGATTGGGACACCAGGGCCAGGGAGGACTTGTATGACCACCCAGTCTTACATGGGAAAGCAATGTCAATCCTGCATACTTATGGAACCCTTGGAACATTTGGCCTTTTCCACTCTGGGTGGCACCCAGGGAATAGCATTATGCCTATAAGATTACCAGTGTGGGTGGATGGGGCCAGGCCTCTAGCCTCACAGTAAATCAGGACCAGTTGAGCCTCTGATGTCCGTTTGCATGCCTACTGCATGGCCCTTTGTCCCTGGGCCTAGGATGGCCAAGAAGCTCAACCACCTCCATCCTTTGAGCCCTCAAGAAAGGACAGTGGTTCTTTTTAAAGCACCAGGATCATCTATGCAGGCTGAGTGGACTGTGAAAAGCAAGAAAGGATTCCTGTTAGCACATCATCGAAGGCCAAATTGGATATAAAGTTATCAGAGATCAAGGTAACAGCTAACATTGATTGAGTATTTGCCGGGCACTATTTTAACTGTCACCTATTGTATGTCATTTAATTCTTCCAGTAATCTTACACTATTACTATCCCATTTTAAGATGAAATAACCAAAGGACCCAGTGATTGAAGATTTTGTTCAAGTGCCTGTGGTTTATAAATAGTAGGCCCAAGCAATCTCCCTTAAGAGGCCCCACTTTTAGCCATTATACATAGGGAAGGGGCTCATCTCAGGGGTTTCTCTGTAGCCTCCTCACCCCACTAAAAGACACCTCAGCCAGGAGTGGTGGTACATGCTTGTAATCTCAGCACTTGGGAGGGAGGCTGAGGTGGGAGGATCACTGTGAGATCAAGGCCAGCCTGGGCTACATAGTGAGACTTTGTCTCAAAGAAGAAGAAAGAGGAAGAGGAAGAAGAGGAAGAGGAGGAAGAGGAGGAGGACAAGACAGCTCATTCTCTTCATGGAAAAATAATCATATGAAAATCTTTTTTTCTGATCAGTTGGGAAGATCTTGAAAGTTACTGTGTAGCGTCACTGTATTTCTCCCTTATGCCGAGGGCTACGTACTGACCGACTTTGGGGGCTCAGGCAGGGTTCAGGGGCTTTAATTCTGGCTCTGCTCCCAACTGGCTGGTTGATCTGGCTAGAAAAGAGCATGGAGATCTATCTCCTAGGGAAGAAGCATCCCCCCCAACCTCCCAACCTCCAACCCTAACACCCCTCAAGAAATCTGGCCTCACGTTTGTTGGCTGGAGCTGGGTGAGAGTCCGGCCCAACCTCCTGGATCCTTGGGCACAGTTACTCCATTTACACACATAGCTCAAAGTCTGCTGCAAGAACACAGGCTGCCAGTCTCCTTCTGCCCTTGTGCTGCAGAGCCTGGAACCTCCCCCCCCCAGGTAAGGTGGGGGGGGACAGGTCTGTACTCCTAGCACTTCAGACAGGTTTCACTAGGTCCTGGTTGAGTACCTACCCCCACACACTACTCTAAAATCCTGTCATTTCATCTCTCCTTCTTCTTCCTAACTCTCCCTACCCTACTTCTCTGGAAGAAGGAGGGCCAGTAGGTGAGTGGGGAAGGTGAGGAAAAGTCACTTGTTTTACTGAGCATCTACTATTTGCCAGGCACTTTTGGGCCTCCCCTGTCCTCTGCACCTAAGGGTACAGGTCAGAGAGCATGATGCTTACAGGGGCCCAGAGAGGAAGGCGGCGGGTAGTGCAGTCAGAAGCAGGTACGTTGCTCACAATCCTTCTGTCCCCTTCTCCAAAAGAACAGCAGATTACCGGCAACTGGAGGACGTGTGGGGAAGAGGGAGGGCACCCGGGCCTGGAAGTGGCAGTGGCAGGTCCCTGGGCTAAGGAAAAGCTCAATTGTGCAAAGGCTTCCTGCCCTGACAGCTCACGGCCCCAGCCCTGCCACCCCGCAGCTGCCGTGCTGCCGCCGGCTGGGGAGGCGGGGCGGGAGGCGAAGGCAGGAAAGGGTTACAGGAATAGCTTTCCAATGACAAAGTCTGGAAGGGACCCAGGCCTCCGCCCCTCTGCGGGTTAAACTGGCACCGGGTGTGGGGAGCGGGCGACCCGGAGCTCCGCGTCGCCTCCCGCAGCGCCGGACCTGCCCGGCGCTCCCCTCCCCCGGCCCGGCGCGCCCACGTCGCTC